TGCGAGTTTGCTACCCCGAGAGATCTTTGCGGCTCCCTGCTGCTTTTCTTCTCTTTCAACCCCGTGAGGCTATTTAAGTCTTCAAGCTCTTTTAATAAAGGTAAGATCTGAGCCCACGTTGCCTGCGGATGCTCCCCTTCCCTAATTAAATGGGAGGGGCTCTGCCTGTCACCTTTGGGTCCAACCCTTGGCCGCTGCCCAAGGCTGTCACCCAGAAGCCATAAACGCCCAGCCCTGGGAGTGGGGGTATGTTTCTATGTCCCCTTAGCTGAAAAAGACTTGCGATGCCGCAAGAAGCGCTGCCGGCTACCCAGATTATCGCTGCCGGAGCGTGGCAGCCGGACGCAGAGGCCGAGCGATGCCGCATCGGGCTCCCTCTGTTGTCGGGCACTGACAGCGGCGCCGGAGGGAGGTGAACCCACTGGCCTGCCTCTCGCGGGACCAAGATTTCTTTCACCTGAAAGCACAGAGCAAACGGCAAGGTGGCGGCGCTGACGGGACCTTATTGCACCCGGTCCTTGCCTAAAAGCACCCAAATGGGTTATAAACTGTCCCGGGAAGCCGTGACCCGGCAGTCGAGGGCAGGAGCGGGTTGATGCGGGTTTAATAATCGATTAGCAAGGTGACGGGGACGCTGGCTGCAGCGGCCCCGGGGTTGTTTCAGTCCCCGTTTCCCTGCGCCTCTTTCTGACGCTTTCCCTGTCCCTGCAGTCATCCTGACGGACGAGGAGGTTCAGAGGAAACGCGAGATGATACTGAAGCGCAAGGAGGAGGAAGCGCTCAAGGAGAGCCTGAAACCCAAACTCTCGGAGGAGCAGCAGAAAGTCATCGACATCCTCCTCGAGGCTCATCGCAAAACCTACGACCCCACGTACGCCGACTTCACCAAGTTTCGGGTACGTCCAGGGGACGCCGGTCCCGATTCCCGCGCGCGGGACCAAGCGGTTTCTGCCCAGACGCACCAAACCCGTTTCATCCCGCGCCTCCTCGTTAGAGAGGAGTCAAAAATCCCGGTGCAAAAACCTCGACGCTGTCGGCGGCAGGCAGATGACCGCCACCAAATTGCTCTCCCGGCCCCGTTCCTCATGTCCTGCTCTCCCTTCCAGCCCCCCGTGAGAAGCAACCCTAGCAACAGGGGGGCAGCGAGGTCCTCCTCCATCCTCACCCAGGACTTGTCGTCGGAGGACTCCACCGACCTCTTTGGCTCCGATGCCTTCAACACGTTTCCAGGTACCACGCTCGCCTCTCCGTAGACGACGGGGGGGTAGAAACGCGGCAGCT